GGTTAGAATGTCCAGTGGGCATTTGACTGTTCAAAGCCTCTGGGTTAAAAATTTTAAACTCTTGACCATAGTTGAAATTGTAAAAGCGAATGAAATCTTCTGTTGAGAGTGAGAAGAGCAGAGGGCTTTGGAATTAACCATGAAACCAGTATCAGGGGCTGGCTGGCTGACTGGCCAAGGACAGAGGATCTAGTGCTAGAAAATTAACACAGAATAGAGTTAGAAGGAGAATCAGAGGAGGTGATGTCCACAAAGTCTGGGTAGTACAGTTCCAAGTCTGGGTAGTCAGTGTCAAGTGCTCCAGAAAGATCAAGTACCCTGGGAATGAGTATCCATTGCATTTAGCAGTGAGGTCACTGATGACCTTTGCCTGCTAGCGTGGTTTCTGTGGAGATAAGGTCAGAATTGAAAGTCTATTTCAGTGGGTCAGAGAGAAAATGCAAAGGAAGAAAATGAAAAATTTATCATTGTATCCCAGTGAGCTATCAGAAATATAGTGGGAAGAGATGCATGATTGAGGGCTGAAATAGACCTTAGAGGTATTCAAATAGCAACTCCTTATTTCAACACCTGAGGAAATTATTAATAGCACCCCCCAAAATTTAGTAGTTTACATTGTGATAGAACAGACATTGGCAGATAGACAGACAGCGTCTAGGTCTTCTCTTTCCAAATCTGCCAGTATACAAAGGCAAACTCTTAACCCAAAAAGGAGTTAAAAATTGCTTTAATAGTTTCCTTTGACTTTTGAAATGTGTTCTTTATTAGGTATAGAAAGGAATACATTATGGCTGTGCTAGAGCATATTTGTCTACATACTCAGTGTATTGTACATGTGAAAATAGGTTGATAAAAAGCCACTGGTTAGATCTGGAGCCAAATTCCAAATTCAGTCATGTTGGAAATATGCATAACTAAATCAATATATATATTTATAATTAATTCAGTAAGAAACTTTAGGATACTATGGTTTTGTTTTTGATTAGGAAGAATCATTAATATTTTAAAATAATGTTATAAAAGTACATATTGAATTAGAAATATAAATATTGAATCGTATAATAACCAATCTTATTTAGGGGTGGTATGTCTTATCCTTGGGCAGTTGTATGAAAATAAAATATTCACAAAATGTATTTTTGAGTACCATACTAGAATCTTCGGTTTTTGGTATAAGAGCACCACCTATGGGTTTCTCATGTACTTGAAATATTTTTCCTAAAACAAAACCTAATAAAATTCTTTCTAGTTTTTCCCTATAATTAGAATATCGATTTAGTCAAAGGTTAGGAATGTTCTTTGTCATAGATTACTCCCACCTTGTTTTTGGCTGTATGTCACTGCTGTTAAACCATTTAATAAATAGTTGAGTACTTAATATGCTAGTACAGCGTTATAATTCTGAGTTGAATGTAATTTAACTCAAAATTGTATTCTCTTTAATGTAGGTGAATCATTTAATAAATAGTTGAGTACTTAATATGCTAGTACAGCGTTATAATTCTGAGTTGAATGTAATTTAACTCAAAATTGTATTCTCTTTAATGTAGGTGAATCTTACATTAATTCAATGAATTAATACAAATGAACAATTTTCCATATTCTGGGGAAAGGGTAATGATTGTTTTTGGCTGTTTATTTATATGTTTGTTTATATTTTCATGAACTTGAGATTTCCTTTAGCTTACTACGACTCCAGAATGCTATGGTAGGAGATAATGAAAAGTCTCGCTCTGTCACCAGGCTGGAGTGCAGTGGCGCTATCTCAGCTTACCGCAGCCTCCGCCCCTCAGTACTCCAGACTGTACTCCATCCAGTCTGGAGACAGAGCGAGACTCCATCTAAAAAAATATCACCCAGGTTCAAGCGATTCTCCTTCCTCAGCCTCCTGAGTAGCTGGGACTACAGGCGCACCACCACACCCAGCTAATTTTTGTATTTTTAGTAGAGACAGGGTTTCACCGTGTCCGGGAGAAAAGAAGGTGTTATAAATAACTTAGCTATCCTTTTATTAAATTATTGTAATAATAACTCAGAGCAAAGTGGAAGCAAACTGGCAGTTTATTATTAATAAACTCTTAAAAAAGAATTACATTTGAATACATTTAGTCCTTTTCTAAAACATCATTTATTAAAATTAGAAATTTTTTGTGAGGGAGATTTACTAATGAAACAGCAGCAAAAAAAAAAAAAAAGGAAACTTTGACTATGCCTTGGCAATGAGATGAATGCTAAGCCCTTGATGTATCTGTGTGCTGTATGCTATCAATCTGTTCTGAAAGCGATTCAAAACAGATTCCCTTTGGCAGTGGACCCTGATTCCAGGGCAGATCCATTTTTAGATATGAACTTTTTTTCTGCAGTAGAATATACTTTTAAGGCTCTGATGGCATGTTTTCTTCAGGGAATAGGTTATTCTATAGAAATAAGGATTGACTTTAAGTAACATAGCTTGTTTCATTTTGATCATTATGGATAAAATTCTTTAAATTACATAGTATACTTCCTAGCATTCTTAACCTAAATTGAACAGAGTATAAGCTTTGTTACGGGAAAAAAAAAAAAATTGCCGTGCATGGTGACATGCTCTTTGTTGTCCCAGCTACTCAGGAAGCTAAGGCAAGAGGATCACCTGAGCCCAAGAATTCAAGGCTGTAGTGTTCTGTGCTAATGCCTGTGAATAGCTACTGCACTCCAGCCTGGGCAACATAGTGAGATCTCATCTCTTTAAAAAAAAAAAAAAATGCTGGGCATGGTGGCTCACGCCTGTAATCCCAGCACTTTGGGAGGCCGAGGCAGGCAGATCATGAGGTCAAGAGATCAAGACCATCCTGGCCAACCTGGTGAAACCTCTTCTCTACTGAAAATACAAAAATTAGCTGGGTGTAGTGGCTCGCGCCTGTAGTCCCAGCTACTCGGGAGGCTGAGGCAGGAGAATTGTTTGAACCCGGGAAGCGGAGGTTGTAGTGAGCCGAGTTTGCACCACTGTACCCCATCCAGCCTGGAGACAGAGCAAGACTTCATCTCAAAAAAAAAAAAAAAAAGTTATTTTTCCAAGTTACAATTGTAATAGTGATATTTGGCCATCTCTTGGGTTACCTGATTTTTAAACTACAGCTGAACTTAAAAAGCACTGGAGTGCAGGCCGTGTATTATACCAGTCATTTTGCCTATACCGATTCATTATTCACTTAACAACTCTTAGATCAGTATGAATATTAATTTATTATGACAATATACAACAGTCTTACCTTTTGAGAGACAGGCAATAATGTGTAAATTATGAGCTCATGGTTTTTGAGTTTAGTATGTACTGTTTATTGTGTTTCTGAAAACTTACTCATCACTTCTGATAACTGTTTATGTATCCCTGACAGCTACTCTCCCCACTTCTAATTTTCTGCTTCTAATCTGCTGTTACTTTAAAATCAAGTAATCTAATTTGTTGAAGGTTGTATTAAATAAGAGGTTCTAGGATTTTAAATTCTACTAAAGGCTTAAACATCACGTATTTAATTGAGAGAGAATAAATTGTCACATTATCAACTGAATTCTGGACAATGTTAACTATTTACAATGAGAGTTCCAGATAATGCAAGAATAATCCAGGAAAGTATTGGTATTAGTTTTAATTTATTCTATATGCATGAAGATTTTCCTCTGTGATATGCAGATATCTAATCACATGATGATATTTGAAGCACTATTTCAAGATTTTACTTTTAAATAATGTAGGAATCATTAATAACACTGTAATAAATAGCTTGGAAGTATTAATGGAATAAATTGAAGAACTGCTTTGCAGTAATTTTGAATGTTTTACTATCTTTATTCAAACGTCCACTAACTTCTTAACAAAAATTACAATCCAGCATCTTATTGTTAGGCTTATTTAGAGTACCCTAAAAGCAGCATTATGCTCCTAAGGATCTAAACAAAGTAGGTGAGCAAATATTGGAAAGGTAGTTTATGACAAAGAAAATAAACTTGAAAGATGAGTTTTGAAAAAAGATGGGTAGATGGATAGATCAATCTCCATGGCCAAAGCCAGTAATCTTGAACTCTTATTCAGTGATCCAGGTGGAAATTTCCTTGCCTGCCCAAAATATGTACAGTAGTCCCTCCTTATCTGTGGGGGATACCTTCAAGATCCCCAGTGAATACCTGAAACTGCAGAGTACCAAACCTGATTGCTGTCCAATATAATGCCTTTTCCATCTTAACTAAGCACTTAGGCACTGTGGCCATTAACTTTTGCAGTTTGAGGTATCACAGCAAAACTAGCGTGAATTTCTTTTTCCTTCTTTGTAATTTCATGGATATAAGATTCATTCTTTCTTTAGAGCTCAGACAGCTCAGCATATGATTTTTTTTCTGTTGTTGAGAACTTTCACCTTTTCACTTAATGGAAGCACTTTACAGCCTCTCTTTGACATATCTGAATTACCAGCATCACTGCTTTTGTGCTTTGAGACCATTCATAATGGCAAAATAAGGGTGATGCGAACACAAGCACTTCAATACTGTGACAGTTGATCTCATAACTGAGATGGCTACTAAGTAACTAATGGGTGGGTAGCATACACAGCGTGGATACACTGGACAAAGGGGAGATTCATGTCCCAGGAGGGACAGAGCGGCACAGCAAGAGATGTCATCACTACTCAGAACAGCACACAATTTAAAACTTAAGAGTTGTTTATTTCTGGAATTTTCCATTTAATATTTTCAGACCACTGTTGACTCCAAGTAACTGAACAATGGAAAGCAAAATGTCCGACAAGTGGGGCTACTCTATTTAATTGGAATAAGAAACTTTGAAAGGGAGGAAATTGAAATATCTCATTAGAATAATAACTTTTTAAAGTTGATACTACCATATCTTATTGGATATTATTTGATGTGTAAAGTTTTTTGGTTTTTAAAAAATAAACACTGACTTACCTAGTACTATTTTGAATGTATAATAATAAGCAAAGATTGCTTTGGCTGTCTTCCAGCTTGTGGAGAGACTCCAGAGCAAATTCGAGCACCAAGTGGCATAATCACAAGCCCAGGCTGGCCTTCTGAATATCCTGCAAAAATCAACTGTAGCTGGTTCATAAGGGCAAACCCAGGCGAAATCATTACTATAAGGTAATTCTGCCTTTCTGTATTACTACATAATTTATTATAAAACATAAATTCCATTTTCATTTATTATTACTTAGCATGCAGTAATATAAAAAGAAGTCTTTTCAAGAGATGTGATAAAGAACAGCTAATGGTGTCATCTTAAGAGTAAGAATAACAGCCCATCTGGTATGTGTTTTGACTATTTTCTAAGAGTGGTAATGTATTTGCATTGAATCATCTATATTCTTCTAAGCTGCTTTTTAACAAAAGATACACATTTGCAAAATAGCCTATTAGGGTCAAGACTAATCTTTGGCAGTGGAACAAACAAATAAACAAAACTCAATAATTCACTTGGATATCGAGCCCTTAACCTTTGTCTCATTAGTAGAGCCTTCTACCTAAATAAGTTAAAACACGATTGTCATGCATGTCTGTATATGTGTATGTATGTATAAAACTTGAAACAAGCTGATAATGGAGAGTTACTACATCTAGAAAAATCTTTTTTTGTAACTTCGAAACAAAAGAGCATTTGTTAAGAATACAAATGAAAGGCTTTCTTAAGGGTAATAACCATAAGTTTAAGATTGTAAGAATAAATGTGACATATAAATAAGGAAGGTTAAGATTAAATTTTAAAACATTTAGCAAATTACTTGCAGAAAAAAACAGTATGGGAATAAGATTGTAAAGAATATATTTAGTAGAACTAGATATTGCTTGCTTAGGAAAATTCTATCAAGGCCATTAGGAAAAAAATGTTACCTACGGCGGGGGAAAAAATAGTGTGCCTGAATGAAGAACTGCAGTTGGAACAAAACACAAATAAGAATGTCATTTCCATCACAGAGACAGTGTAGCACAAAGGCACCTTCAACGTGCTTTCGTGTGTAACATTGTATGGGTAGGAGGCATAGAATTTTAGATTTAGAAGAGACTTTGGAGATCATAAACTCAAATTCCTTCATTTTACATTTTTAAAATAAGACTTATACATTTAACCTACTTTCTCATCTTTTTTCGTCTTCCTTTTTTGTATATATTAACTAATGAGGAAACCAGTCTCTCCTGAGAAGCATAACTGTCATCTGTCTCCTTTTTTTGGTGGAAGCCATAAACAAGGGCAATAGTTTGTTTTCCTTTTATTTTCCTGTACCCTACATTACCTCTTCTGGAACCCTGGAGCTTGGCACATACAAAAGCTGTTATTCTCCTCCTCCAGGCAGTGTTTTTCTCTTGCCTGATTGAGGGTAGAATGAACCATTAAGGTTATCTTTCTGTAACAGTGTCAGTGTTGAAATGTAAATATACCTATTTTCTGTTACTTGTTGTATGACTGTGTGTTTGCAAAATAACATTTTTACCACATATTGGGAGTTTGTTAGCATAAAACTAGAATTTATAGAGACCTTCACCTTTTAACCTAAAAGTTAAACTTACAGCTTATAGTTCAGTTTTGTAAAACTTGAAAATCTTACCAGCACAGAAGAGATTACATTGAAATACTGCCATCTGGTTTTGATAATGTATTGGATCCTTGAGATTTCGTGAAGTAAAATACACTGAAAACCAAGGACAATACTAAAATGCAGAATAAAATTGAAGTGAGCTCTACAGCTAAAGGAGAATTTCCTCAATTCTGGAAGGGAGCAGTGAATTTGGATGTATACAGACCAGAAGGTGATTTTAGTAATTGTTCAAATTCTTTACTGAAGTCATCATCATGTTAATACCATAACTTTAAAAAGATGACACACATGCATATACACAAAGACAAGTTTTACATATGATTATCAATGCATAATCTTAAATGATTCAAAAGAATCATATGCATAATTAAACGTAGCTCTTTTAGACATACAAATGAGTCAGTATTAGGAAATATTAAATTAACTTACCAAGTTAACAAGTCAAAAGAAAAAGTATGTGATTATCTAGTGTACCTAGATGCTTTAAAGCATCTTGGTAAAAAAGAAAATCAGCCTTCATTCCTGAATTTAACATAAAAATTTTAAATTCTTAGTAAAATGGAATTGGAAATATGATTTTTTAGATCTGGATAGAAGAGGGAAACTAAAGTTATGGAGTAAAAACAAACAATACTGAGAGCTAGCGGTATAAAACTTGCTGAAGATGGTGAAATAAAGGCATTTTTACTTCATTCCTCTCCCTTGGAACCCACTACAATCAACAAAGGCCACCTTATCCATGGGGAAGAGAGGATTGAATACCAGCACCCTGCTTGAAACCAAGGACTAGGGACAGGCAATTTTGCTCAAGACAGGAGGCTGAAAAATCTTCCACCAACCACAGCCTGAATTTATATGGGGCTGAGAGCTTAGAGAGCTGAAAGGGCATAACCTAACAAACATGAATAACTGTGTCACCTGCTGACTCCATGACAGGATCTTTAATACTCTGAACCATCATTTAAGACTTATTCTGGAATATAGACCCAAGCAGGGGAACATAAAGGAAGAGAGGGTTAAAAAAGAGAGAGAAAACCAAAAAACTTCCATAAAATAAACCTCTAAACCGAAATTCCAGAATGTGTGAAAAAATTGAATGCTGAGAAAAACAGCCAAGCAAAATTAAGTTGGAACTCAGATTTACTCCAAACGTTTTAAGATGTATTCTGTCAGGGATTATTTCTCAACTTTCTTTATGCCATGAACACCTAATAGTCTGGTAAAACCTATGTATTCTTTCCCAGATTAATATGTTTAAATTCATTTTAAAAAAATACATAGCATTACAAAGGGAACCAATTATATTAAAGCACAGCTATCAGATATTTTGTAATATTTGTAATGTAGTAATATATGCTTATTTATTAACACATTAACAAAATCAAGTGATGGTTAATTTCAAAGAAAAAAATGTAAGTGTAAATAGTATTTTTAGATACCTGTAAAAACTGAAATGTAACATAAAAATATCTCTAATTTTGAATAGTGGTGGAGTGGCCGGTGGTATAAATACTGTCATGGTCTGTTGTTTATAAGTGAAGGAAATGCTAAATTTTAATAAAAGGTTAGTGAGCCGGGCGCGGTGGCTCAAGCCTGTAATCCCAGCACTTTGGGAGGCCGAGACGGGCGGATCATGAGGTCAGGAGATCGAGACCATCCTGGCTAACACGGTGAAACCCCGTCTCTACTAAAAAAATACAAAAAACTAGCCGGGCGAGGTGGCGGGAGCCTGTAGTCCCAGCTACTCGGGAGGCTGAGGCAGGAGAATGGCGTGAACCCGGGAGGCGGAGTTTGCAGTGAGCTGAGATCCGGCCACTGCACTCCAGCCTGGGCGACAGAGCGAGACTCCGTCTCAAAAAAAAAAAAATTAAAAAATAAAAAATAAAAGGTTAGTGAAAATAAAGGTGTAAATTGTTTCCAACCAATTTGTGATTTTTGAGGGGACAGGAGAAACATTGAATACTCTTACTTGGCCTTTATTAGAAGAAAAGTGTGTTTTAGCATTTCAATTAAAGTATCAAAAGGTAGCCACTGATTAAAAATAGAAGTAATATTGAGCAGTTAATAGAGGAAAAGCAACTTTAAAAATATATTCAAAAAAAGGCTAGATGTGATGGCTCACTCCTGTAATCCCAGCACTTTGGGAGGCTGAGGAGGGCGGATCACTTGAGGTCAGGATCACTTTGAGACCAGCCTGGCCAACATAATGAAACCTCATCTCTACTAAAAATACAAAAATTAGCTGGGCATGGTGGCAGACACCTGTAATTCTAGCTACTCAGGAGGCTGAGGTATGAGAATTGCTTGAACCCGGGAGGTGGAGGTTACAGAGCCAAGATCATGCCACTGCACTCCAGTCTGGGTAACAGAGTGAAACCCTATCTCAAAAAAAAAAAAAAAAAGGAGGAAAAGAGGAAAATGAGAACTGTCTCCCAAGTAGAAAGTTTGTAACACACTTAAAACTAATAGAGAATGTCTAAAAACGAGGAGATGGGGTAGACGCTATGGCTCGTGCCTGTAATACTAGCACTTTGGGAGGCCAAGGTAGGCTCAGGAATTTGAGACCCGCCTGGACAACGTGGTTGAAACCCTGTCTCTACAAAAAATACAAAAAAATAGCTGGGCATGATGGCACATTGCCTGTGGTCCCAGCTACTCAGGAGGCTGAGGTGGGAGGATCACCTGAGCACAGGAGGTTGAGGCTGCAGTGAGCCATGAATGTACCACTGCATTGCAGCCTGGGTGGAAGAGTGAGACCTTGTCTCAAAAATAAACAAAAACAAAACAAGGAGATAGAAAAGGTTAGCTTTGGAGCTACTCATCAAGAGAAAGCTAGTCTAGGAAGATTAACATCCATTGTAATTGAGCTTAAGGCATAAAATACTAGTAACAATTAGGGTGATCTACCAGAAAAAAAAAAAACAGCAGTAAATTTCATGTATCTAACTACATAGCCTGAAATACATGCAAAGCAAAATGTGGAGAATTGCCCAGCAAATTTGACCAATCCACAATTCCAATGGGAGATTTTTAACACACCTTTAATACTTATTTCAACAGAAAATACACATTCTTTTCAAAAGCCTGTGAAACATTTATAAAAATTGATTATGTTTTAAATCACAAAGGAACTCAATACATTTCAAAGACTACATCATTCAGATTGTGTTTTGTTACCACAGTGCAATTAAAATAAAGGAAAAAAAATAAAACCTGTATGTTTAGAAATATATTCTTAAATAACTCCTGAATTAAAGAGGAAATCACAATGGGACTAAATGGTTTTAAAATAACCATAGTGAAAGTAATACATATTAAAGCTGTTAGAATACATTGAAAGAATGCTTAGGAAAGTTTACTACTTTAATGCATTGATTTAAAAATTAGAAAATAAATAAGCTCAGCATTTAACTGAGGAAAGGAAAAGAATTACAGGGTAAATTTTAAAGTAGAAGTAAAGGCCAGGAAAATAATAAAATTCAATAAAACAAAAAGCTGACTTTCTGAAAAACTCAGGAAAATAGATAAAACTCAAAGCAAAACTGAAGAAAAAGAAGATAAAAAGAGCAAAAGTGTCTATAAACATAACATTTTTAATGTCATAAGAATATTATAAGCAGTTTTATGTTAATACTTTTATACAAGTAGATTAATTGGATTTTTTTAAGAAAATTTATATTACTAAAATTGATTCAAGAAGAATTAGAAAGCTGATGAATCAGTAGCCATTGAAGAAGTTGAATCAGCGTTCAAATTAAGACTCTAGAACTAGTTTTATAGGCAAGTTTTACCAAATGAATAGAAAAGGAATTTCCTTAACCTGGTAAAGGATGTCTGTTAAAAAATTTAAAAAAGCAAATTTAATGTCAAAGTTAATTTTAGCACCAAGGACCAAGACAAAAATGTGTGCTTTTACTGGTTATAGTAGAATTCTTAGTCAATGCAACAGTGCAATAGATAGAAATAGGTGATATTAAAAAAATGGCAAGGAAGAGAAAACTTTTATTTGCTAATTATATGTTTGTTTTAAGCAGTTTAAAGCAAACTTAAAGATCACAGATAGGAAAATATGTCTTTAAATTGTATGAAAGTACTGTGTACAGAGCTTTGTAGTAATAAAATTTACTATCAACATAACATCAATTTTCCAAGAAAATTTAAATGATCAAAAGTTTAAGAAACACTGATTAAACCAAAAAACATTAAGAAATTGAAACTCTCTCCCTGACTCAATATATTCTAAATAGGCACACAGCACAAATACATCAACAGTGCTTTTATTACAGAAATTATTATGAAGCATTTAAAAAACCAAAAAGTACTTTTACTTATTCATTTAAAAATCCTAAATGAATTAGCAAACTAAATCAAATAGGGTATACATGAACAGATACTTATTATTTCTTATTCTAGGCAATGTTTCTGCTTTCATGAATCTTTTTTTTTTTTTTTTTTTTTTGAGAGATAGTGTCTCACTTTGTCACCCAGGCTGGAGTGCAGTGGTGCCATCTCGGCTCACTGCAACCTCTGCCTCCCGGGTTCAAGTAATTCTCCTGCCTCAGCCTCCTGAGTAGCTGGGATTACAGGTGTGTAAAAACTAAAACTCTGAAATACTTAAAAAATAGTTGAACATCTTTGGGATCTTTGGAAACACCAAGGAATCTTAGAGAGGACACTAAATGCACTAAACATAAAGCAAAAATAAAAAATTAGACTTCATCAAGACTAAAATTAAAAACCACGCTCAATTAATTTTTGAATTTTAGTAGAGATGGGGTTTCACCATGTTGGCCAGGTTGGTCTCAAACTTCTGACCTCAGGTGATCCACCCACCTCGGCCTCCCAGAGTGCTGGGATTACAGGCATGAGCCACCTCTCCCAGCCTTTGCCTTCATGAATCTTAAATGTTTAGTGGACTAAAAGTTTATTAAGGGATTCCCTAGTTTGAATGGGACTAGGCCTCCCATAAACAAGGGCTATAAAGTTTGGATAAAATATTTTAAAACCAACTATTTGAAGGATCTGGAGAGTAATAAGAAACTGGCAAAAACTGGAGAGTATTCCACCCCTGAAAGAAGGAACCACTCTTCGTGAGATAGGCTTGTTTCCTACCAGTTCTCTGAAGATTCTTGCCAGTCCGTGCAACGTGGAGTGACTGGAACTCAAGCACATCACCATGGTCTTGTTAGCTTGAGGTGTCAGGATGCAGTTGAGGCTGCAACAGTAACTGGAAATTAATTAATAAGGTAACTCCTGGAAAGGAGAGAACCACAAACTGGAAAGTAACTGCATTTAAATTATTCTCAGATCCTTAGCTGACCCATGAATTGTGTGTGCATAAAGAAGACTCCGAGGAACCCGCTGGAAAGTAATAGCGGGAAGGCTGAAAAGACTATATGATTTCAGCTGCTGTGCGCCACAGCAGAGGCAGCATGTGGAGTTTGAATCCTGTCCATCACAGGCGAGACCCAGTATAGGGCTTCATAAATAAATGCCTTGAGATTTTTAATGAAACTCTGTGTGTCATACTTTACAAGTAAAGACAGTGTCCTTAAACTAAGAATTCTCCCTGAGACTAAGGGCAGAGCAGAAAGAAACTCACTTTAAACAAAGTATTAAAAAACCCAACCTCCTCAAGTTCATGGTCATCAGACTAATTTAACTGTGTGATAGAACAAAAATTAGTATCTTCTATGTTCTAGATAAATGTAAGAAAAAAAAAATCTCATTTTCTACTTGAAAACACACAAAAATTAATTTATATAAATCTCAGCTATAAATGTAAAAACTAAAACTCTGAAATACTTAAAAAGTAGTTGAACATCGTTGAGATATTTGGAAACACCAAGATATCTTAGGACACTAAACGCACTAAACATAAAGCAAAAATAATAAATTAGACTTCATCAAGACTAAAATTTTAAACTTCTGCTCATTAAAAGGTTCCATTAAGAAAATGAAAAGACAAAACCATAGACTGGAAGGAAATATTAGCAATACACATATCTAACAAAGGACTTGAATCCTTTTTTTTTTTTTTTTGAGACAGAGTTTTGTTCTGTCACCCAGGCTGGGGTGCAGTGGTGTGATCTGAGCTCACTACAACCTCCGCCTCCCAGGTTCAAGCAATTCTCCTGCCTCAGCCTCCCGAGTAGCTGGGATTACAAGCCTGCACCACCACACTCAGCTAATTTTTGTATTTTCAGTAGAGAAAGAGTTTCACCATGTTGTTTGGCCAGGCTGGTCTCGAACTCCTGACCTCAAGTGATCTGCCCACCTCAGCCTCCCACAGTGCTGGGATTACAGGCATGAGCTACCTTGCCTGGCCAAGAATATAAAAGGGATTTTTATAACTTTTTTGTTTTAATGGGCAAAAGACATGAACAGATTCTTACACAGAAGATATAAAAATGGCCAACAATCACATGAAAAGATGTTCGGCAAATTTGTCTTCAGGGAAGTGTGCATAAAACCACAATAAAAGATACCACCCCTCAGTGAGACTAAAATGAAAAAGACTGACCACATTGACTGCTGGAGAGAAAGAATGTGGATGTAGGTGGATATGACATGTCTTACATAATAGACATGCCCCCAAGTAACTCATGTTTATAATATGTAGAGTTCTTAAATAAGAAATATGAATGAATAAAGGAGGTAATTTGAAAAACAAGGCAATTTGGAGTAAAAGAAATAGAAATAACCAGTAAATTGGAAAGGCATTTCAATCTCAGTAAATAAAGACATGCAAAATAGAAGTGATAAATCTCTTTTGTCTACCTAATTGGCAAAACATGTTAAAAAATAGAATATGTCATTTTGCTAAATGTGTGGGATATACGGTACAGACTTGGTAGAATTGTAAGTTCATATAAACATGTTTTGCCAGGATCTGTCAGATTTAAAGAGGAATTATTCTTCTGACCTAGCAATACTAGTTCTAGAACAGTTTGTCCTAGAGAATTTATTGTTCTTGTGTGTAAGAGAGATATGTACATGTATAAGGTGGTTTTGTTTTGTTTTGAGACAGTCTCGCTCTGTCGCCCAGGCTGGCGTGCAGTGGCGCGATCTCAGCTCACTGCAACCTCTGCCTCCCTGGTTCAAGAGATTCTCCTGCATCAACCTCCTGAGTAGCCAGCACTACAGGCACACACCACCATGCCTGGCTAATTTTTGTATTTTTAGTAGACATGGGGTTTCACCATGGCCAGGCTGGTCTCAAACTCCTGACTTCGTGATCCGCCCACCTCAGCCTCCCAAAGTTCTAGGTTTACAGGTGTGAGCCACCGTGCCTGGTCAGTAGTTTTTAAAGTATAGTTCATAATAGTGCAAACCTGGAAACAATCAAATTGTCTATCAGCTTTTGTTAGTTATTCAGAATATTTGAAGAAGAAACATTCTGATATAATAATCCTTGGGTAATTAACTTTACTATCACTTAGTTATAAGGCAAAGGCAAGAAGATAAAGTCAGATCTTTACTTTTTGGTGAGACATGTTCAGATACTGTAAAACTATATTTTGATTTCTCTTTTTTTCATAAGCAATGACTAATTTTCTATGTGCTTTTATTTATTTGATGCTTTTGACCTATACTTATGCCCACATTTTATTAACTACAAGATAGTATTTGGCTATAAAGTGATTTATGTAAAAAAGTATTCCCAAACTCAGGGACTTTTCACCAAGAACATTTTTCATGTGTTCCTTTTTCAGTCTTTTACCTTGCTCAGATTTGTGCTAATTACTCTCCTAAGAATGTCAGCTGCAAACTTTTTATTAAGCAAGTATTAATCTAAGAGAAGGCTGAGTTTCTCTGTGTTTACTTCAGTTCATCAGATTGGGGAGAGGTGATTCTGGTTGGAACACAGAACAATTCAGGATGTTCTGAGTTAGAAATGGTCTTTCCCAACCATACACACAGAGAAGAAAAAGAAAAGGTGCCACCTGTCACCTGTTTTTTTAACATTATTTTGAAACTGGCATTACTTGTGAAGAAGTATTTTTCTACAATCTGGAGAAGAAATACATATATGAGGAACATAGAATTAGTATTATTATTTGCTAATGATATGGTTGTATGCCTGGAAGACCCAGGAGAATCGGTCAATATATGGAAGCTTATAATAATATCCTCAGTTACATTGTAATATGATTTTTTTTTCCAAAATTGCCTTTTTAATAGACATTTCTGATTTTTTTTTTTTCCCCAGTTTTCAGGATTTTGATATTCAAGGATCCAGAAGGTGCAGTTTGGACTGGCTGACAATAGAAACATACAAGAATATTGAAAGTTACAGAGCTTGTGGTTCCACAATTCCACCTCCGTATATCTCCTCACAAGACCACATCTGGATTAGGTTTCATTCGGATGACAGCGTCTCTAGAAAGGGTTTCAGACTGGCATATTTTTCAGGTGTGTTTTTAAATAAGAAAGATTGAACTGAATTTTATGGCATTAACTGCTCTGTCACTTTGGAGCTAATCTTCTAAATAATGTTCATTTAATTAGGAGTAGGCCCTCGAGGCAGCTGAGATTGAGGATTAGAAGCTAAAGTCAGATGCCCTAAGGCTGGGTCTCCAAAAAGTGTTTTGTATAATTCTAACAAAATGATTAACTTCATATACTAAGGTTAATTTTCTTTTTAAACATCTTAAATACATTTATTCTAAGAATAGCCTTTTATCTCTCAAGTGCTTACTCATATCCAGAAAGTTAGTTCAGAATGTATTTTTGTGGTAATTATTGTTTTTATACCCCCAAAGAAAAGACCTAACAGATTTCACCTTCATAGTTTATAGTCTCAGAAAAAAAGACATCTTTTCTTAAAATGTGTCTAAAAAGCATGACCAGATCATACAAATGTGAATAATTCAGAATTAGTCCTCTCTTTTAGATCAAAATGCAAAGATCTTCATGGAATAACAATAAGCATTTAACAAGTTGAATTGTTGAGTAAGTGTGCCAGTACTAATTTGTCATTAGAACCCAATCTGTTAAATCATTCTGTTTATAAAGACACGTACACACGTATGTTGATTGCAGCACTGTTCACAATAGCAAAGACATGGAGTCAACCCAAATGCCCATCAGTGATAGACTGAATAAAGAAAATGTTGGTACCTATACACCATGGAATAGTATGCAGCCATAAAAAGGAACGAGATCATGTCCTTTGCAGGAAGCTGGATGGATGGATGAAACTGGAAGCCATTATCCTCAGCAAACTAACGCAGGAACAGAAAACCAAACACTGCATGTTTTCACTTATAAGTGGGACCTGAACAATGAGAACACATGGACACAGGCCCCACATTTATTGTGGCCTTTTGGGGAGGGCGGGATGGGAGGGAGAGCATTAGGGAAAAGAGCTAAATGCATACTGGGCTTAATACCCAGGTGATGGGTGCAGCACACCACCATGGCACATGTTTACCCATGTAACAAACCTGCACATCCTGCACATGTACCCTGGAACTTTAAAAAAATATATATATATAAAAACCCAACCTGTTTTTTAAAACTCTTAGCACTTGGGCTTTATGAACATTTATTATAAAAATATTGCTCTTGCTGTTTTATGTCTTTTAAAGATTATAATTTTTCTCCTTCTCTTTCCATCTCCTTTCTACTCACATCTTCACAGGGAAATCTGAGGAACCAAACTGTGCTTGTGATCAGTTTCGTTGTGGTAATGGAAAGTGTATACCAGAAGCCTGGAAATGTAATAACATGGATGAATGTGGAGATAGCTCTGATGAAGAGATCTGTGCCAAAGAAGCTAATCCTCCAACTGCCACTGCTTTTCAACCCTGTGCTTACAACCAGTTCCAGTGTTTATCCCGTTTTACCAAAGTTTACACTTGCCTCCCCGAATCTTTAAAATGTGATGGGAACATTGACTGCCTTGACCTAGGAGATGAGATAGACTGTGATGTGCCAACGTGTGGGCAGTGGCTAAAATATTTTTATGGTACTTTTAATTCTCCGAATTACCCAGACTTTTATCCTCCTGGAAGCAATTGCACCTGGTTAATCGACACTGGTGATCACCGTAAAGTCATTTTACGCTTTACGGACTTTAAACTTGATGGAACTGGTTATGGTGATTATGTCAAAATATATGATGGATTAGAGGAGAATCCACACAAGCTTTTGCGTGTGTTGACAGCTTTTGATTCTCATGCACCTCTTACAGTTGTTTCTTCTTCTGGACAGATAAGGGTACATTTTTGTGCTGATAAAGTGAATGCTGCGAGGGGATTTAATGCTACTTACCAAGTAGATGGGTTCTGTTTGCCATGGGAAATACCCTGTGGAGGTAACTGGGGGTGTTACACTGAGCAGCAGCGTTGTGATGGGTATTGGCATTGCCCAAATGGAAGGGATGAAATCAATTGTACCATGTGCCAGAAGGAAGAATTTCCGTGTTCCCGAAACGGTGTCTGTTATCCTCGTTCTGATCGCTGCAACTACCAGAATCATTGCCCAAATGGCTCAGATGAAAAAAACTGCTTTTTTTGCCAACCAGGAAATTTCCATTGTAAAAACAATCGTTGCGTGTTTGAAAGTTGGGTGTGTGATTCTCAAGATGACTGTGGTGATGGCAGCGATGAAGAGAATTGCCCAGTAATCGTGCCTACAAGAGTCATCACTGCTGCCGTCATAGGGAGCCTCATCTGTGGCCTGTTACTCGTCATTGCATTGGGATGTACTTGTAAGCTTTATTCTCTGAGAATGTTTGAAAGAAGGTCAGTATCAAGACAGAACTATAAGGTTATGCTCTCCACAATAAAAGCAGGCCCAAATATTTGAAATGAGTACTTTGAGGATTAGCAATGTATTTTTGTTTTATATTAGTTTAGAAATGGATAAAGATTGTTGATGATGTATAAAATTAGTGTGAAAAGCCCAGGACTCAAAAGGCCAAACACATTACAAACTAAATATTTAGAGTTATGAGAAAAAGCAATCTATTTACCAGCTCCTGTTTTCAGATTAATCCGTTTTATAGGAATATTGTAAGCTGAAGCTCTCAGTTTTAGTGTTTTAACCTGTATTTTTCTAAATACTAATTCAAAAATTCCAGATATGTGATAGCCTACTATGTTCAAAGCATACAGGTAAATAGAAAAATGAATAAGGCATAATATCACAAGCAGTTTACAGTTAGGAGGAAGGAATTGGGGCATGGAGTAAGATGACAAAAGTGTAATGCTGTAAAGAGCTGTAAAACAAAATGGTATAAAGTCAAAAATACCTAATCTAATAAGGGAGAGAGGTGGAAAGGCTTTAATTGGAGAGGTGCCACTTGAAATGTATAAGTAGAATATAGATAGGGGAAAAGGTGTTAAAGCAATAACCTGGGAAAATATATAGAAGTAGGAATGTCCAGCATTGCTCAAAAAGTAAGCACATGGTTCAGTTTATCTGGAGCCCAGGATGCGTATGAAGGGCTAATAGGAGGTACGATTGGAACACAAGACTATTGTCCTGTTGTAGAGTTAAGTGACAACAGCACTTCAGAGTTCTCAGTTTAGTAAGAAATGGTTAACTGTTAAAGGGTGACCTTCAGAGTGAGTAGTTTTCAGTATGATCCAGGGTAAATGGGACCTGAGAGAAGTTAATGGCAGAGATGTCCCTGTGGAGACAATGACCTTCAGTCCCAGGAGAATTACAAATAATAGATTTAACAAAGAACTTTTGACATAACAGATGGCTAATAGATGGCACACAGATGCACAGTATTGTAATAACCATTACTGCATCTTTTCTTTTTTTTCCTTTTTTTTTTTTTTGTTTGTTTGTTTTGAGACAGAGTCTTGCTCTGTCACCCAGGCTGGAGTGCAGTGGTGCAATCTCAGCTCACTGCACTCCGTCTCCCAGGTTCAAGCGATTCTCCTGCCTCAGCCTCCCAAGTAGCTGGGATTACAAGTGCCTGCCACCACACCTGCCTAATCTTTTGTATTTTTAGTAGAGACGGGGTTTCACTCTGTTGACCAGGCTGGTCCCGAACTCCTGACTTCGTGGTCCGCCTGCCTTGGCCTCCCAAAGTACTGGGATTACAGGCATGAGCCACCGCACCTGGCCTCTGCATCTTTTCTTTGGGCAAGTGTAAATGGCAAGAAAACTTTTTACCACATTGCAACAAAAGAGCACAATGAAGAGTCAGAGATCCCAGCTGGGCGGGGTGGCTTCAACATATATTCAGTAAATACAATGTTCTTAGGAGTTGTAAAATCTCGTATTATTTCTCCCTTTACCTTTTACAGGGATTTTCATTCATTAAAACTCAGTGATCCAGGCTTTTACTAGCTTAAAGCCCCATGAAGACAGACTGCTTGCTTCAGCTTTGTATTCCTAGTGTAGGGATAACACATATATTCAGTAAATGTTTGTCAAATGACTAAGCTTTAAAATGATCAAATATGCCAAGATTCAGATTGTTTTAATTACTGATAATGGAAATTTGTTCTTTTTCTTAGCTCCCCCTTTTAATCTTTTTTCTTTCCATCTACTCTCAAAGATCATTTGAAACACAGTTGTCAAGAGTGGAAGCAGAATTGTTAAGAAGAGAAGCTCCTCCCTCTTATGGACAATTGATTGCTCAGGGTTTAATTCCACCAGTTGAAGATTTTCCTGTTTGTTCACCTAATCAGGTATATTGCAATGTGTAGTTTCTATTACATTTCCTCTTAAAATGAAATCTGTGCCTGTATATATGATAAAGCAAAGATCCTTGACTGTCAGAATTTTTGCAATCAAGGATTTAAATGTATGGAAGATTTGAAGTCATAGTTTTCATTACATTTTAACACTACAAACTACAAAAGTTTATTTTTCATTCCACTGATGTGGTTGTGCTAGTCTGAAGCATTTTACTGTTTAGGATAATTTAGTGCATTATAATTCAAAAGTATTGAGCTTGGCAAATTATTTTTTACCTGACCTGAACATCTACAGGATTTAAGAATGAACACTAAAATTAATATGCTAGTAATATAACGTGCTAGATTAACTAGTTATAAGTAAAAGTAATTGAAATGAAGTTAACATTTCTACCTGAGGAAAAACATCTTCAAGCCTGATTTTACAGTGTTTAACAATTTATAGCATTTTGTTTATATAGTAATTCATTATATGTTTCTGAATTCTTTAAATTTCTCAGCAATTAAAAACATTTTCTTCTCATGCTTAAAAATGTGCCAGCGTTCATTTTAGGCATAAGGATTTATACATTTAAATTGCAAATTCATTCAGAAACATTTATAAAAATTGTTGTTTCCAGTATTAGAGTTAAAACTGGTAAACAGTGTTTACCTAGTAATATAATTATTTTCAAAATAGAATACCATTTCCTTTTTGGTAAATGGGATTTCTGATTACAGTCTATCACCTTATTAGAGTCTTTTAGGAAATCTTTGGTGAGAATTTGTAGTTTCAAGACATTTCTCCATATGTAATTGCCTAAGTAAATCATTCAGAAGTTCCACTGGTTGGAATTTTGTGTGCAAAGTAGGAAAAACCTAAGTTGTGGCTTCTTTATATCAGCCCTGCTATGGGGAAAGTTTTTTTTTTTTTAAGATAAGAATCAGATCATGGTTAATTTTACACATCTACTTCATTCTCTACCACCCACCACCCCTAAACCCCATAAAGTCAGAGGGAACATAGTTCACAGAATATGTCCTCATTCCTGACACCAATTGCAAATTCAAGGAGTTCCCCAAATCCCCTTCAGGTTTGGTGATTTACTAGGAAGACTCAGAAAACTCACTGAAAGCAACTTACTTGTGGTTACAGTTTATTACAGGGAGAGGATACAAACATACAGATTAACCAAGGGAAAAGATGCACAAGACAAAGTTCAGAAGGGTACCAAACATGGACCTTCCAGTTGTCCTTTCCCCATAGAGACAGGAGGGCATTACTCTGTCAACACAGATGTGTGACAGTATGCATGGAGTGTTACCAACCAGGAAAGCTCACCCAGGCCTCAGTGTCTGGAGTTTGTACTAGTGCACTAGCACAAAGGCAAGATTAATTGCACATGTGGCCAATCCCAGTTTCTAGCCTTATCCAGAGATTGATTGACCCAAAGCGCTCACCCTACATCACACTGATGGTGTGGTTCAGAGCTTCCACTCTAAATCAGTTTTACTATCTGGCTGGTCCAAGGTCCCCAGGCAAAGACACTGCTTTCAGACAAGACAGTCGAAGGGCTTGGAGACCCAGAAGCCAAGGACAAAGGCTTTGGGTGAGGTTAAATTCTTTATTACCTCACACTACCCCAGTTTCTCAGGTTATATTTACCCTTGTGGGAGAATTCTACTTCAACATTTTAAAATAAAGTATGTTTTTGGGTGGTAAGTTAGATTTTATTCATTTAATGAAATTAAACTCTCAAGTTTGAAGCTTTTGGTAACAAATTATCAAATTTTTATAGCAGTTTTTGGAAAAAATAAGTAATGATGTAATTCACCATCTCACTCAAAGTAGAAATGTTTTTTGAGGAATGCTTTCTCCTTCATAAACTGAAGAAGTATATGAAATTATTCCTAGAACATTCATGAGATCCCCTCATAAAATGTTAGATTGCCAGTCCTAATTAAACTGACTTTTAACTAAGTAGAGAGTTTCACCTCACTATGACAAACCAAATGTTAAAGTCAACATTAAAGTATGTTGAAGGCATTGTTGATCTTGATGGCTAATAGCAGCACAACAGAGAAGGATAACAGAAGAGCCTTTTGTTCACTGCTGGATATAATAGCATAGTGCTCAACATGAAGCCTTAAAACTTGCACGCTCACTGTTGAGGAGCAGATCTGTGGAGAAGTTCATTAGAAATGTGAACCACTTTTTCTTTCTTTTTTTTTTTTTAATTTGTAGTTAGGTACTTCTTAATTGGTAAAAAATCTTACTCATCTGTATAGCAAATCCATGTGTGCCGATATCCAAATTTCTTATTGACAGTCTGTGCCTTACTAAAGTTAGACTATGAAATGTTCCTATGATAGTAGCTTCTTAACTTATCATAAATTATGTTCATGGCACTATGGAAAGGCCTATATGGAAAGCATAAATAAATGCAATACCAGCCACAAAGAGATACAGAACATAAGAGGACATCTTCCTTATTTTCTACCTTCTTTCTTCTGTGAGGGGAAAGGGAAGAGGTGTGAGTTTTGGCAGGAGATAGTATCATCATCTGAAGGAGAGTATATCAACTTGAGATTGTTTCCTGGAAATAAAATTTTTAAATACTAAATGCCAGATTGGTGAAAGCTATTTCAAGTTTGAATACTTCTTTTTATAACCACTAGATGGAGCTTAAAGACTATCTTATATAATGCTATATGGTTTTAAAAATAAACTAAACTTGTTCATCTAGAAAAAAGAAGAGATTTTTTATTCAGTTGGGCAACCTTTCATATACACTAATTACAGCTAACTAGCTTTCAGAGAATAATGATATGATAATTTATGCTTAATACTAAACTATAGAAAATAACACTTTAAAGATTGAGAAGGAATCTAAATGTCTAGATACCATTGAGTAGTGATATAAACAAGTTAACTTCTTTTGTTTCTTGTCTTCTATGCTGTATTACAAATATAATTCCTTTATTTGTGACAATATAATTAAATCCTCAGTATCCATTCACCAAATCCTTAAGAAGCAACTCTGTGAAATGCAATTTTCACATGTTTTGGGAAAGTTCAGCCTTGTAAATTAAATCTAATGTGTTCTTTTTTAAAAAAAAAAAAGATAAAAGATAAAAAGCCTGGTTTTCACAAACTCATTTTGGTCACTTTGTCAATTATGGTGGAGATTCTCCTATGTCCCTACTTACAGAAGTATCAATTTTATTTTCTAGCTTTGGTACACTTTTCACATTGGATTATGGTGTGAGATTTTGAAACAACTGTTACAGTTGACACTAAATATCATTTTTAAGTTGCATATATAAAATGGAATAGCAAGAAAATTTTAAACACAGCAATGATTCAAGTTATATAAGTAGATTAGATTCTGTAGTAGGATGAACCCACCTAGGTAAGAGAATTTAATTTTTCCTCCTTAGACCCAAGCAACAATGAGTAACAGAAGTTTTAACCACAACACATTCTTAAGAGAAGGGTATTTGTTATCTTAGGACCTTGTTGTTAAGTATCTTAAGACCTTTTCTTATTTTTGTAGGCTTCTGTTTTGGAAAATCTGAGGCTAGCGGTACGATCTCAGCTTGGATTTACTTCAGTCAGGCTTCCTATGGCAGGCAGATCAAGCAACATTTGGAACCGTATTTTTAATTTTGCAAGATCACGTCATTCTGGGTCATTGGCTTTGGTCTCAGCAGATGGAGATGAGGTTGTCCCTAGTCAGAGTACCAGTAGAGAACCTGAGAGAAATCATACTCACAGAAGTTTGTTTTCCGTGGAGTCTGATGATACAGACACAGAAAATGAGAGAAGAGATACGGCAGGAGCATCTGGTGGGGTTGCAGCTCCTTTGCCTCAAAAAGTCCCTCCCACAACGGCAGTAGAGGCGACAGTAGGAGCGTGTGCAAGTTCCTCAACTCAGAGTACCCGAGGTGGTCATGCAGATAATGGAAGGGATGTGACAAGTGTGGAACCCCCAAGTGTGAGTCCAGCACGTCACCAGCTTACAAGTGCACTCAGTCGTATGACTCAGGGGCTACGTTGGGTACGTTTTACATTAGGACGATCAAGTTCCGTAAGTCAGAACCAGAGTCCTTTGAGACAACTTGATAATGGGGTAAGTGGAAGAGAAGATGATGATGATGTTGAAATGCTAATTCCAGTTTCTGATGGATCTTCAGACTTTGATGTGAATGACTGCTCCAGACCTCTTCTTGATCTTGCCTCAGATCAAGGACAAGGGCTTAGACAACCATATAGTGCAACAAACCCTGGAGTAAGGCCAAGTAATCGAGATGGCCCCTGTGAGCGCTGTGGTATTGTCCACACTGCCCAGATACCAGACACTTGCTTGGAAGTAACACTGAAAAACGAAACGAGTGATGATGAGGCTTTGTTACTTTGTTAGGTACGAATCACATAAGGGAGATTGTATACAAGTTGGAGCAATATCCATTTATTATTTTGTAACTTTACAGTTAAACTAGTTTTAGTTTAAAAAGAAAAAATGCAGGGTGATTTCTTACTATTATATGTTAGCCTGCATGGTTAAATTCGACAACTTGTAACTCTATGAACTTAGAGTTTACTATTTTAGCAGCTAAAAATGCATTACATATTCATATTGTTCAATAATGTCCTTTCGTTTGTTTCTGATTGTTTTCATCCTGATACTGTAGTTCACTGTAGAAATGTGACTGCTGAAACTCATTTGATTGTCATTTTTATCTATCCTATGTTAAATGGTTTGTTTGTACAAAATAATACCTTATTTTAATTGAAACGTTTATGCTTTTGTCAACACATCTTGTAACTTAATATACTAGATGTTAAGGTTGTTAATGTACAAAAAAAACACCCTTATACTCACCTGCGTTTTCGTTTGTTTAACATTTGTCCATTATCGGATTTCATTATCATATGAACTTGTCAAAGGGAAACAAACTTTGTCTAAAAATTTTTCTCTTATGTTTAACATACAACGATGTGAAATTTAGGCAGAGTTAGATAAATTACTGGCAAAAACAAAACTCTTTTATAAAGATTTTCTAATGTTGACTTTAATACTCTAACATGGTACAAACCAAATGTTAAAATCCCAAGTCATTTCTTTTTTCATCTGTATTTAGCAACAGAATTAAGTGGATGAAGATATTCTACTATGCATTAAATCTTGAACTTTATAAAACATGTACAAAAATTGTACAAGATAAGTTCCAACTGGTAATGTCTTTCCCTAATACAGGGTTGCGCTTGTATTGGACCCTAGGGATTTGCACTAAAATTATATCAAGGTCTCAGATGAGCTTAGTGCACAAGCACTATCACTTTAAATACTATTATTTGCTACCACAGCGACTATATATTTCCATAGCTTTTGGCTGGGGGCGGGGGGCATTTTTATTACAACTTGAAATTGCTTTGCTGGTTTCATATTTATTTGTTGTATTTAAGAAATACATTGTTGTAAGAGTGATTTTTTTTCAATATATTTTATTCCTGGGGGGGATCATGCTACACTCTCAAAGAAAAGAAAATTGAGAAATCATTCAGATCATCCCCCCTTTCTAAGTAGTGTGAATTGTAAAACCCGACATTTTTTTTTATTGTCAGTTGCTGTTTATTTATTCTTTAGCTGTCTGTTTTAGTAGTTTAATGATTGAGTATGAAAAATGTATTTGTGTGTGATTATTGCTATTTATTAAATTTTAAATACTTTGCTGAATGTCATTTTAAAGCATGTTTGAAGTCTTGTGTATTTGTCTGTGTTATGCTGTCAGGAAGAACTGACTAAGATGTTTTAATATGTATCAAAAATTAAAATGTTTTTTTTATTGCCTTGAGGTACTTTTTAAATCAAAGTTGTTCTTTATTGAATTGTGGTGCATATACAAATTCAGGCCATAAAATATGCAATATATCTAGAATAAAAATGATTAGAAGGAGATCATTCCTTAACTGTTTTATAGTAAAGTAGCAGCTTTTACCAGTACTCGAGGGTAAAATTTTCTAAGGACTTGAATATTACTTTGCTTGAGACTGCCCTTCAGTTGATGTATCTCACAAGATGAGAGAGTTTAATCGATTAACTGCGTTTTAGTTGACGTATCTCACAAGATGCAGTAACACAGTCAGTTCTCTTTTTAAATTGTTTTCACATACATTTTAGACCCCATAGTATATTCTACTGGCAGAATTCGGGTTACCAAATAATCTTTTACATCCTAGTACTATACTATCAAGTATAGGGGTTTTGGTTTTGTTTTCTAGCATATGTTTTAATTTATTATTTTAATTAACTAATACATCTTCCTGGTTCAAATAGTAAAATGTAAATTCCTCTTCTATCCCAACACCCATCTTTCAGTTCCCTTGAAAGAGACACATACCAGTACCAGATCCTTGTATATCTCCCTAGAAATAACCATATATGTACATAGGCATATCAATGCTATATTTTAGTATTGCAAATTGTAACATACTATGCATACATTTTCTGTACTTTTTCTCAAAGGGAAAAAATACATCATTAGAGTTTGAATATTAAAAGTAAAATCAAGCATTGCTGTTACTTGTGTTTTTACATTTAAATCATTGATCTCTCCTGAATTTAGGGCTTCACTTTTTTTTTCCCCCCAGATAACTACCTAGTTTTCACAAAATTATTATTAAATAATAGATCCTTTCCTTACTAATTTGAAATGGAACTTATATAGTACATTTCCATATTATTTGGGTATGTTTCTAGACTCTATTTTCTTCTGTTGATCTGCTTTTCTCTTTTTATACCAATCCTTTATTGTTTTAATAACTGATTCTTAAATGTTTCAAATATTCTTATTTATATTTCCATTTGAATGACAGAATTTGTTGAGTTCCACAGAACATCCATGGGTACTTTTTTTTTTAGACAGTTTTAATTTTATAGATTAATTTAGGGGAATTTGACATCATTATCATATGAGTTAAAGCTTTTTATCTAAACCATGGTGCACTATCTAAAAATCATGCCCATTCGTTTTTTTTTGTTTCCTTCAGATGAATTTTACACTTTACAGAGATCTCATACATTTTTAAGAGTTTATTTTTTAAATTTTTTACATTTTATTGCCTTTATTAATGAAATCCTATTAATAATTTTGCCTAATTTTAGTACATATAAAGGCTAATTATTTATGTTAATTTTCTGCCCAGCTAGCTGATTCCATTTTTTTGTTGTTTGTAATAGTATTTCACTTAATTATTTTGTGTTTTCCAACTACACAGTCCTGTCATCAGCAAACACTGATAATGTAACCATTGTTACATTTTGCATTCCTCTTTGTATGTTAATTGCATTGTCTAGTACTTCTAAAATAATGTTCAATAACTGGCTATAATGAATTGGGTTGAGATAGATTTAATCATATTAAGGAGTATCAACTAATCCCTATTTTAAAAACTGCATGTTTAATTTTATCACATGCCTTTTCAACATCTGCGGAGATGATCATGATTTTTTTCCTTTGATCCTTTAAGATGAATTTTACTAATATGTTTTGTAATTTTGCACTATCATTACATTCTTTAAATAAATTCTTTTTGGCCATGTGTATTTTTTTAATCTGTTGCTAGATTGCACTTCATATTTTATTTAGGATATTTGCACTTGTATTAATCAGTAGTCTATATGTATGTGTGTGCATACACATGTGGTCACTTTGAGAAGTAGTATTTTATGCTTGTGGATTTGGAAACTTCCCTTCTTTTACATGCCCTAGAACAGTTTAAATAGGATTGGAATTTTCTGTTTCTTAAAATTTTCAGAGAAATTATCCGGGTTTAGTGGATGTTTGGCAAGCAGCTTTTTGACAACTTTGTTGGTATCATCTAAGTAATTAATCCATGTAGTTTTTTTTAAATCCTATCTGGATCAGGAACCATCCATTTAATCCAAGTTTTCAAATTTATTTGCCTAGTTGAGGAAACTCTTCCTCTTGTTTGCGTGTGGATGTTGCCCCTTAGTTTGTATTATGCTTTCTCCCTTATTTTCTTTTTTTTTTTTTTTTTTTTGAGACAGAGTCTCGCTGTCGCCCAGGTTGGAGTATAGTGGCACGATCTTTGCTCACTGCAAGCTCCGCCTCCCGGATTCACTCCATTCTCCTGCCTCAGTCTCCCGTGTAGCTGGGACTACAGGTGCCCACCATCACGCCTGGCTAATTTTTTTGTATTTTTAGTAGAGACGGGGTTTCACCATGTTAGGTGGGATGGTCTGGGTCTCCTGACCTTGTGGTCCACCTGCCTCTGCCTCCCAAAGTTCCTCCCTTATTTTCTTGATGAAGGTAGCTAACAGTTTACCTATTTTTTAAATTATGTATTTTTTTATTTTCCCCAAACTGCTTGGATGTCTCTATTCTGTAATTTTTTTTCTTTCTAATTAGTTTATTTCCACTTTCATAAGTTTTCTACCTTTTGCTTTCCTTGGTTTATTTATTTTATTTTATTTTTCTAACTCGTTTAGTTAGCATGTAACTTACTTATTTTTACTTCTTAATTCTTAAGAGATTAAGACATGGATTTAAGTGTGAGCACTGCTTAAGGTGAATCATTTGGCTGCATTAATGTCATTACTGTTATTTTCTAAATGTTCTTAAGTTTCAGTTTTGATACCTTCTTTAATCCAAAAGTTGTATAAAAGAGGATTTCTTTTCTTTGCTTTTTTTCCTAGATAATGAGAATTTTTTGGTGTGCGTGGTAGTTTTGTTTTCTGATTCTTTTCATTTTATGGCATCAAAAACAGAATGTTAAGAGTGTATGTATTGGGGAGGGGGGCGGTTATTGTCTTTCAATTTTTAAATGTCCCAAGAGCACTTTTAAAAAGTGTGTTATTTCTTCACAGGATACAGATTTTAGTAGGGATTACTCAGATTTTAGGTCTTCTCAACAGGATACAGTCCTTTGTCTTGTCAGTCAGAGCACCAATATTAGTAGGGAAGAGAATGGAAAAAAAAGGAGCTGTATCAGAAGGGATCTATGGGCCAGACGCCCAGTTCTTGGCTCATGTCATACACTAGCACTAAGAACATATAAGCACAGGATGAAGGGGTCTTTCAATAAGCTGTTGAGGTTTTAGTTCTTACTACTGCTTACCACTGTCATCCACTGTTAATCTGGAAATAAGTGGGTAAGACAGACTAAATGGGATAAAGGAAGAACAAGTTCATTCAATTTTCTAAGTGTTAATTGAGCACCTACAACAGATCCAGCAACGTTCACAGCAGTTTACAGCCCTCCTTTCACCTGCTCCACCATTTCCCTCACACCTTTTCCCCAAATTCCAAGGGAGAAGATGACAGCAACTTGATAGGACCTGCTTTACTTAGGAAGGTCCCTGTTTAAAAATTGGTAGACGCAGGCAGTAGAGAGAAAGGCCTTTTCTCTGACTACCTGAACTCTTGTTAAGGAATAGCATACAAATTGCAAATTGTATATAGTTATTGGCATGAGCTGACAGCTGGCTGTGATTGCATTTTTTTCCTAAGGTAATCAACATTCAAGGTAGTCAAAGGAGACTAAGTAAAATTCACAGAATTTTAGAGCTGGAGGGAATCTTAAAATGAGGAAGTAACAGACATAGCTGTTTAGTCAGGAATTTTCTAGACTTCAAAGAAATCTATTATATACCCATATTATACACACAGGTAAACATAGGCCATGTATACACACATGGTTTACCATCATGTGATGTCACAAGGTTTATTCCTATTAGAAGTCAGGCGATTCTGACATTTCTGCACATGCCTACTCCTAAATGTGTCTATCCCATGTTCACACCATCAAATGCTATTCTGCGAGCCTTTTACCACTAGCTGCTTCTGCATTATAGGAATTTTCAAAGCAATAATATTTGCCCATTATTAAGTGCCTATCACCTGCCAATTTCTTTATATGTGTCCTTGGAATCGTCACAGTCCTGTGAAGTAACAAACTTATCTTCTATTTATCCAAGGGCATATAGCCAATAAGGGCAGAACTAAGATTTAACCTTAGTCATGCCTGACTCAACAGCTGTGAATAGGATGGATCATAAAGTGAAGTAAGATTTATCAGGAGAAGTATCTATCAAGTTGGAGTTGACAGACCTGGATTATTATGCCAACTCACTGAGCCTCAGCTTTGTCATCCTGAGGTAAGGATAATAGCTTCTTCATAAGATCATTGTGAGGAATAAAGATAACATTTGTAAAAGGCCTCAGCACTTGTTCTGTCCATCTATTGCTGCATAAAAAACTACCCCCAAACTTTGTGCTGAAAGCAACTACAATCATTCTGTTTTCTCACAGATAACTGTGGGCAGAGCTCAGTGGTATTGGCTCATTCTGCTCCTCTTGGCCTCTGTTGGAGTTGGAGAATATATTCCCCAAAGAGCTCACCTGAGTGGCTGGCAGGTTTGTGCTGCCTGTTGGCTGGGTGCTCAGCCAGGAGCCTGGGATCCTCTTCATAAGAGTCTCCTCAAGGCTGCTTCTGTTTCCTTAGTGCATGGAAGCTGGACCCAAGAATGAATGTTTCAGTACACCTCTGCAGAAGCTGCAAGGCTCTTGTGACCGAGTCTCAGACATCCTAGAATGTTATTAGGTTGGTGCAAAAGTAATTGCGAGTTTTACCATTACTTTCAATGGCAAAACCGGCAATTACTTTTGCACCAACGTAATACTTCTGCCATATTCTATTTATCAAATCACTGACCAACCCAGATTCAGTAGGAAAAGAAATAGACTCACCTCTAAATAAAAGGAATAGCAGATAAGTCATGCCATCTTTACCCCAACACAGTACCTAATACATAACAAGAAACATTAAGTTGCCATTATTAATAT